AGTTTCCTCTTCTCTGGTTGGGTCTTTGAGGATGGTCTCAGATGACTCACTGACACTTATATTTCATACAGCAATCCTTCAACTTAGGTTTGTATTCATAGAATAACTGGCTTTGGATGGTGATAATACACTTCAATGATGAATCATATTAAAAGATAGGCTAGCTATTCTATTTTTTAGATGTGAAGGGTTCTAGGAACCAAGCTTTTGACTTTCAATTACTCATTGCATATGGCTTCATAAGTTGTGCTAGATGCCATGAATTGCTACTTCACTCATCTATTTTCATCTATGCTGCCATCTGTAACTTCAGGATCAGAGTAATTGGAGTTAGACTGGCAGGACTACAAGAAATGTCCCTTTAAACGTATCTAACTTCTTTGAGGACCAGGGTTCACCTTCTCCTGTTCAGAGTACTCCCAAATGGCTACTCTCATTCTGATTTGTTTCAGGATGACACCTGAGACTAGAGAAAATATTAACCCTTTACTTAAAAAACAGAATAGAGCTGAGTGTGGTGGCTCGAACTGTAGCCCCAACTAGGTGGGAGGCTGAGGCAGAAGGATCACTTGAGTTCAGGAGTTCAAGACTGGTCTGGGTAACATAGTAAGAACAACACATAAACTTTCATCCAAAAAACAGTTTAGTATATTCCCTCTGTGGGTACCAATGACTAACTTCCACATGTAGATCACAGAATAGGATTCAAGATGCTGATAATCACTGAATGAGTACAATGGACCAGGCAGGGGATCAGGTGCCTGGGATACAAAAATGAACAGGACGCTGTTCACTGTTTTGTGACTCCAACCTAGGGAAGGTGTTGAATGTTCAAACAAGCTCAAAAGAACTCAAGTGCTGCCACAGCTCTGGGTACAAAATGTTATGACATCCCACAGAGGAGTTACTAATTCTGTCTGAGAGTGTCATTTTGGGGTGTGGGGTGATGGAGAATAATGGGAGATGAAAGTAAAAAGAGTCATATTAAGTCCCCCAATCCACTTTGCATCACCCTTTCCTTGTTAGCTGCATTCATTTCCAAGGCTTCAACAACCACCCCAACCAGTCAACATCTTCCATATGAAATCTCAGCCTCCATCTCCACTCTGTTGACTTCAGACACATTCCAATAGGCCCAAGGATATGTTGCACAGGCACCTCACACAAAATAGGCCATTCTTATCACTCCCAGACCCACCTCTTCCTTTATTCCCTCCTCTGCTTTTAGAGCTAGTATCCAAATTATAAACCTTCTCCTGTATCATCCTCTTTTCCTTCCCTTTATCCATCACCTCCAAGTAGTCACCAAGTTCTGTCAATCCCAATTCCAAAATCTCTCTCAAACCTTCACTTCTCTGGCCCTCCTGTTCCTCTGTTCAGGCCTGCATCTTTTCTCCCTCCAATTATTGCAACAGCCACAAAACTAGTCTGTTCCAATTTATTTATTCATTTATCAAACAAACTGGATGCAAGGCATTATGGGTACTGCAGCAACAAGACAAAGAAAATGTCTACTTTATGGAGCTTTCTATTCACTCATTACAGCCAATTTCCTTCTTAACATTAATCTGCTCATCATACATACTGACTTCAAGTCTTCAATTGCCTCCTACTGCCAACAAAATTAATTCCTAGCATGGTCTATAGGATCTTCAATATCTGGCAAGCCTTACCCTTTCAACCACTTGCTCTGCCACCCTCTCGTGGGCCCCTTAAACTCCAGGCACATTCAGCCATTTCCCTTTTATCAAAACTGCATGTATTTCTTCAGCCTTCACCATCTTCGAAAATGTTACTTTCTATGCCTGGAACACTTTTTCCTCTTCTTCTCTCTGGGAATTCCAACTGGAGAGATTCTGAGTTTCTATGTCCAATCATGGATCTCATCACACAGTATTGAAATCATACAACTTCTGCCTTCGGTTGTGAGCTCTTTGAAGGGCAGGAACTGTATTACATTCACTGCTGTGCTCAGCATGAGTGTAGACTCATAGCAGCTGCTCAGTAAGCCTCTCAGGCATGAGAAAGCAAGAAAGCAGCACAGAAATTTGGCCAGGTAAGGAAGCAAAGGTCAGGGAAATTGGGAGCTCAAATTTTACTAATGACCAAAGTACTTATTTGTGAAGTACTCTGGGGTCTGAGGGCAGAGCTTTCTTTGTGGGTGTGTTTCTCAAAATACAGGACAGAACATCTTTAAATAACACAATCTGGCAGGTTGCAGAACCTTCCTTTTTCATTCCTTTCAATGTTTCTCATCTGGCTGGAGGAAAAAACACACAGCTGTGGGTGACTAGTCTCAAGACCATTAATTTCAAGTGGGTCCTTAGAGCTGCCTTGCAATTTGACATTTCTCTCCCTCAATTACTAGACTATTTTATGTTTTCTCCTCTTTCCTGAAATTCCCTCATAACCTTTCTGCCTATTTCACTATAAAAACTGACACAAGCCAAAAGACTTCCAAGTTCCCACCACACCTGCCTGTGTCAGCTCATATGTTCTATCATCCCTCATGCTACAGGGATAAACTGTGCTCCTAGCCAAGGTTAAACTCTTTTCCCTTGGGTAACAAATCTCATTCTTTCTTACTTAAAACACTCAGGTAATTCTACCCTCTCTCCTCCTTCACCCATTTCCTCCTTTCTACAAGACCATTTCCATCAACTTATCAACATGTACTAATTCCTCTTGTGAAAAGAAAAACAATTTAAAAATTCTCAAACTCACTTCACTTTCAGCAACTATCCAATGACTCCTCTTTCTAGGAAATGTTCCAAACAGTTGTCTTAATCCACTGTCTCCAATTCCTCACCTGCCATTCTCTCTGAATCTACATCAATCAGGCTTTTACTTCTACTACTACTAAAACTGTTCTTTTCAATTTTACCTAAGACTTTCATTTATTTAAACAGTATTACATAACTGATCATTCCTCCACTCTGAATACCTTCCTTACTTGGCTTCCAGGATATTATTCTATTGTTTTTTCCTCCTTTCACAGTAGTCACTTCTTTTCAGTCTTGTCTGCTTGTTCCTTCCTGTCTCCCCAATCTCTTAACATCTGTACGTCCCAGCCCTCAGTCTCTTTCATGAACTCAGTCCTGGTTTTATCTAAGCCAGGGATTCTCTGAATTCTGAACTCATATCCAACTGCCTATTCAACACTTCCATCTGGATATCTAACAGGCATGTAAAAGCCTAATATTAGGCTTAAAACAAAAATCTTGACACTAACCCTCTGATCTGTTCTCGGTCTTCTCCATTTAAGAAGATCTGAACTCTATCTTTCAAGTTGTTCAGCCAAAATTGGGGTCATGGACCACTCTCTTTATCTCACACATTCAATCTGTCACCAATTCCACTGCCACGACCTTCAAATGTGACTTTCATCTTGGTCCAACTTACCATACCGTTATCATCACAATGTCCTAACACCTGCTATTTTTAAATATCAGCCAGTTGATTTCTTTTCTTTTCTTTTTTTTTTTTTTTCGGTCACTCGACTCCTCAAACCATCCAATGGCTTCTTGTCTCAGATTGAAAAGGCCATGATGGACATTAAGGTGTATATAATCTGGCCATCTCTTACACATCTGACTTCATCTCCCTCCACTCTCTCCTTTACGTTACTCTGACCACAATGGGTTCCTTTTTATTTCCTGAATACTTTTTCATCACTTTTCTACTTGCTCCTCATCCTTCCTGTAAGATACTTCTGGTTATCAACATGGTTCACTCTCTCATTCTTCATTTTTATCAAACATCACTTTCTCTGAGGCCTTTCTTAACTACTTTTTTTTTTTTTTTTTTTTT